GAAATTTAACACGCACCAAAACAAAATTAACTACTAACAAAATAGTGTTTAGATTTAGATTTCGAGTTAGGTATTTAAGACAAATCACAAGCTTATTAACATGAGAGATTTGAATTTATACTTAAGATATTCTTTAAAATTTAGTTTAGTTAAAGTATATTTTGGTTTATTAATTATAGATATTGAATTTGGGTTTACAGATAGTAGGTTTAGTGTTCGGGTTTGTTTTAATAGTGAACGCCACTATTTCTACCATATATCTATTTACTGTGCGTATATTTCAATACAATTCATGTGTGTTCGCTAATTCATGCAATTTTTTTTGAAGGTTTTCGTTTCTAGTACACGAATAACGAACTCAAATTATGTGATTTAATTGGCTGATAATTTACCACATCAAATTTAAATTCATTTTTAGGGTAGTTTCCGCCCTCATATAAAACATATTTTAATAAATTAAATAAAAAAATTATAAAATTCATAGTAACAAAAGAAATTAAAGATAGACTATAAATATTTATCTACAATTTTATTATAAAAAAACACATATTTGTCAAATCAATTTCTAAAAACAAAATAAAATAAAATATATTTTCTTTATAATGTATTTCTAATTAATAATAATATAATATAAATAATATAAATGAAATTATTTACACACTATTCTAATTCAATATAAGGTTTAAAATCATTTATTTATTTTTCAAACGGATAAAATTCTATTATATTGATAGAATATCTAAAAAAAAAGTTTTACTTAATAATACAAAATTTTTTTAATAATATAAAATAAACAAAAAAGACTAGTAATATTGATATATCAAACAGAACTAAAAATTCCTAAATAAGCTATACCAAAAAAGCTCTAATAAGTTCAACCAATAATAAAATATCTATTAAAAAGTTTTGAAACAAAATCAATTAGCCTATACAAACTGGTATTTTTGGTTCTCATAACATAAAATTTTAGAATATAACCCGACTTTTAATTTTATTTTCAAAAAAATTTTATATATAAAGAACTTATAAAATTTTTTTACATATCTTTTGAAAAAAAAACCAGTAAATAATAATTAAAATTTTTCTTCAAAGATTTGCAAATTTTGATCCGGCCGGGTTATGAGAACCAAAAATACCAGTTTGTATAGCCTTAATATATCATGTGAACTAAAAAATTATCTATAATATATAAATCAAATTAATAAATATTAAAAAAAAAAAAAAACATTTAATAATATAATTCATTTCAGAAAATAAGATAAAATAAAATAAAACAACAATCTTCATTATTACTAAACTTTAAGGATCATAAAAACTACCTTTTTTTGTGGGTTATTCCATTACTTTGATGTGATGTAGATCCTAAATTAGATCTTCTAGGTTTTTCAAAAATTTGAAAAACTTCGTAATCTGAAATTGCTAAAGATTCTGCATTATCATTTGTCTTCCATAAAATTGATCTTTTTCCATTCGGGAAAGATAATAAATCTTTAGTACCAAAACAAGGTCCATATCCGGGTTTTTTATGAATAGGAACTGTATTAAGTCTAGTAATTTCTGCTTTTTCTTCATCAAAATTAAAAATAAAACTATCTTTGGTAGTATGATCAAACTTCCAATCTAAAGGATTATATCCTCCATATAATGCATTAGCTTTATTCATTTTAAAAACTATGACCGTTCTCGGAATTCCTTCACATCGTTGATAAAATACATCTGGTAAAAATCCATCACGTCTTCCACGAATAATTAATCTAAATTCATAAGGTATTTCCGCAGGTCTATAAGGCTTTTCTTCACGATGATCAATCCAACTTGAAATTAAAGTAGCATGACAGATATTAATAATTGTACCATTAAATTGAATAGAAAGTGGTGATGAAATCGTAATAGATGATCCACAAGCTTTTTTTAATTGATGTTTGAGTGCAAATTCGAATTGGTCAGATGGTAAGAATGGTTCACATGGAATTAAAAGGTCATGGAATTCATTCCAGTTTAATGATAAAACGCTTGTCCATGGAATACATAAAGAAAGTTTACTTTTAAATTCGTCCCAATCTTTCCTTGCCCATCCAGAGACTTGATTTCCTAATCTTGGAATTTGAAGTTTTGCCCAATTTACAATGTACCCCCAAATAGCTTCATCTAATTTAATACTCCCACAGTCATCAAGAGATTTTAAAATTTCTGGACTAAAATTATTAACAGTTTCAAATATACTTGTAGGATTGCTTGCAATTTTATTAGTGTAATAAACTTGAAGTGTCTTGAAAGAGTCATGACTGAAAATTTCACGATGATGTGCAATAAAATTTTTATCCATCCATGCGGTTTGATATTGAGTTAGTTGAACTTGAATACATTCTAAAATTTCTACAAGACCGAGTTCTTCAGCAGCATAGAGTAAATCAAGTGTTTGTTGCCCATCACAATTCATAAAATCTACTTTTCCACTATAAAGATATCTAAAAATTTTAAAAATAAATATTCTTTAAATTAGATATAAAAGTTCCTAATTTATCCCATTTTTTTTTTTTTTTAATAAACTAACTTACCTAAGAATAATTTCAAAAATTGTAGGGGATATATTATCCTTATGCACGATGACTTTATCATACTCGGGTTTGAATTTGTCACCTGCTAAACTATTTCGAAAATGACTAGACCTAGCTCTCAATATAAGAGAATGAGCTTGAAATTCTTTAATATCATCATCCTTGCCAACACGAATAATTAC